ACAAGCGGTGTTCGATGTAAACATCCAAGGCGTCCTTGGCTGGAACCTCGCGTTCTTTGAAGCTGGGCAGAAGGTCGACAATAGCGTCACTGAACATCGCTTGATAGCGTCGGCAATTGGAAATAATGGCTTCTGTAAGCTCTTCATTGAATTCTGATACATGATCGAGATCTATTGTGATAAGTATTTGTTCGCGATGGGCAATTTTCACAAGTTGATGTGCGTAAACAAATTGCTTTTTCCCGGTGTCATCCTCTTTGCAGAACTCGGACAGAAAGGTCTTAATTGATTCTGTAAAATTTATGTTATCCTCACGAAGGGTATTGACAATATAGAGAGCGACATACTTACCCTTATCTTGTACATAATCTCGACGCGGCATTTTCTCAAAAATTTACTTTCTTGTGTGTAAAAATTGCAATTATATTGGATATTAGAACAGTTTTTCAAAACGCAATGCACTTTTGCCAGCTGCAACGCACACTTTTTGGTCACTTTTGTTTATTTCGCGCCAAAATCCAAACACACACACGCAGATGACAGCACACTTTAGCGACATCTATGTGTTCGGCAAAGAAACAAAAACCTGGCAGAGTTGCATGAAAGGACTCCGAAAACATGAACACGCCTACAACAACAACAGAACTGTACCATGAACGAAAGACATGGTTCATGGAACTGTACAGTATTTACAGGCTAACCTAATATTCGCGGCTTGCGTTTTGGTACGCATGCCGTCGAATTTGTTTTTTTGCGTCACCCGAAATTGACTTGCATGCGTTTGCATTTGATTTCATTGAGCGAAACGTCAAATCAAAATGTCACGCAGAACAAAAATTGGAAATTGAGTTAGCTTCATACGCACGCCGTTCAATTTCGGTTGATCTCATACAAGTTGCATGAGCATGAGAAATTTTTGACAATAAATTGGCGGCGTGCGTGAATATTAGGTTAGCCTGTTAAGAGCGAAATACACCACACAAGCGGTTTGACAAACCAAGCGAAATTTCCCTTTGCTTCAAGCCATTTGTGCTGTGTATGGGGGTGTTTGAAGGTTTGACGGCGGTTTGTCCCTAAGACTGGGCTCACACAGAGAAACTATTTTTGCTCATTTTCTGCAACTTCTTTTTGGTGTTGCTTTTCGCGTTAACACAGAGCAATTCACAGAGCAACCAGAGTGTCCAGATTTGGCATTTTCGCGCCAATTTGGCGATTTTTTTGGATATTTCAAATAAGTGTTCATCATCAGTCTCGAGTTATGTAGACTCCCGTCCTGTGAATGCCGTCCTAGGCACACAACCACCGGACGTGGACGGGACAGAACTCTGACTGCTTCGGCTGGCTATTGCAGCAGGCCAAACTCATACCTGAGCAGAAT